ATGGTCCTGCTAAGATTTTCTTCTTACCACCTGTGTTCAAATGATGGAGTACCTTCTGGTTTTGAGGTTCTTTAGTGACTCTTCTTTGTCGAGTCTTGCCTCTGCTACTTCACTACTAAATCGTTATTTAGCCCAGTTGAAATATGGGATCATCTTTTGACTTCGTGGTGTCACTGGAAAACTTAGGTCTCCTAGTGGATGAAAATATTTCAATGACAGGACTAATCTCCGTGTGGTATTCCTTTATCTCTAATCTTTACTTACATGTTTACATGTTACGCCTACACATACTGGGCAGTTTGATACTTTCACAAATACTTACCTGCATTCATGGCCAGGATACTGGTAACCACTATTTGGGGGCAACTTGTCAGTAGGGTTATAGCTAACAAGTGTCCTCTCAATTTTGTCATAGGATTAAATGGTTTAAAAGATTAAATGCTGGGGTACCTGGGTGGCTCAGTGAGTTAAGCCTCTGCCTTTGGCTCAGGTCATAATCTCAGGGTCCTGGGATCGAGCCCTGCATCAGGCTCTCTGCTTAGCGGGGAGCCTGCTTCCCCTTCTTCTCTTGGCCTGCCTCTTACCTACTTGTGATCTCTCTCTCTGTCAAATAAATAAATAAAATCTTTTTTTAAAAAGATTACATGTCTATCTAAGCAACTCTGCTAATCAGTGTAACTCTGAATAAGGCAAATAACTTCTTTTAAAAAAACAATAGTAACTGTGATATACTATGAAATTACCCTTTTACATTTCAGTGCCTTTTAATATATTCATAGAAATGTACAATCATCATTTCTGTACTACTGTAAAACATTTTTATCACCCCAGAAAGAAGCCCCATACCTATTAACAGTAATTCCTCATTTTCCTCTTCTGCAATCCCTGCAACCGCTAATCTAACTTTTGTCCCTGTGGGTTGGTCTGTTCTAGACATTCATGTGAATGGAATCCTACAATATGTGGCCTTTATGTCGACAGCTTCTATCACATAGCATGTTTTGGTGGTTTACCCATATTATGGTATATGTAAGTACTTCATCCGTTTTTATGTTGAATAACATTCCACTTTATGAATTAACTTGATTTCTTCTTTTCATCTCTTGAAGGACATTTGGGTTTTCACCTTTTGACTTTTAACAAATAATGGTATAAACATTCGTGTACAAGTTTTCATGTGAACATCTTTTCATTTCCTTTGGTATACATACACTTAGCAGTGAGATAGCTTTGTAGTATGACAACTATTATAATGTCGTGAGTAATTTTGACAAACTTTATAAAGCGACTGTACCATTTTACGGTATCACGAGCAATGTATGAGAATTTCAACTTATCCCCATTCTCACTTGTTACTTTTGGTCTTTCATAATATCCATCCTAGTGGATGTGAAGTATCTTACTGTGGTTTTGACTATTTCTGCATTGAGCAACTTTTTATGTGCTCATTGGCCATTTGTATTTCTTTGCAGAAATGTTTATTCAAATCCTTTGTTAGAATTGGGTTATTTGTCTTTTTTGTGGTTTTGTTGTGAGAATTCTTTCTATACCTCGATAATAGACCCCTATTTGGTATTTTGATTTGCAAATATTTTTCCCATTCTCTGTGTTGTCTTTTAACTTTCCTGTTTGCAGTATGTAAATTTTTAATATTGATGAAATCCATTTTATCTAGTTTTTGGTCACTTTTGATTTGGTGTCATAACAAAGAAACCATTATATTGAGGTCTGATCCATTTGGCATTTATTTTTATATATGCTGTGAGGTGTAAGTTCAACTTTATCCTTCCGCATGTTAGATATATAATTATCCTACCACCATTTATTGAAAAGACTATCTTATTGAATTATCTTGATACCTGTATTGAAAATCCACTGATTCTAAATTCAAGGGTTTATTTTGGGCCTGTAAGTTTTTTCATTTACCTCTATATCCTTATATCCAGATCACACAGTCTTTATTATTTTAATTTTATAGTAAATTTTGAAATCTGGAAGTGTGAATCCTCCCAACTTGGTTCATGATTGTTGGACGCTGAGTTTCCATATGAATTTTAGGATCATTTTGTCAATGGCTATAAAATAAGAGCTGGAATTTTGATGAACATCACATTTAACCTGTAGATCATTTTGTGGAGTACTGCCATGTTTAACTGTTGTTCTCTTAGTCCATTAACATGGGATGTCTTTCCATTCATATAGTCTTTAATCTCCTTCAACATTGTAATTGTCAGAATAAAAAGTCTTATATTTCCATATAAAAATTATTCTAAATGTTCTGCATTTCCTGATGATATTAAAAATAGAATTGTTATTTCATTTTGATTGTTCATTGCTAATATATAGAAGTAAAATTATTCTTAATTGATATTGTATGTTCTAAGCTTTCTGAACTCATTAGAGTTCCTTCTTTTTATTCTAATAGTTTTAATATTAGGTGGGGTTTGCTGTTGTTTTGGGGTTTTTTTTTGGTAGAGTCCTTGGGATTTTTATGTATAAGCTTATATCCCCTACAAATACAGATCATTGTACTTCTTTCTAATCTCATTGGTTTTTATTTCTTTTTTCTGCCTAATTACTCTGGATAAAACCTCCTGTACAATATTGGCAAGAGCAGGCTTCGTTGTCTTAGTGAAAATACACTTGCTTTTTTTCCATCAGTTAAAATGATAGCTGTACAGTTTTTGTAGATTCCGTTTGTCAAGTGTAGAAAATTCCCTTCTGTTCCTAGTTTGTTGAGGTTTTTGTTTTTTTAAATCATGAGTGGTTGTCATGAAATTTGTCAGATGTTTTCCACATTTGTTGATATGATCATGAGGTTTCCTCTTTATTCTGTAAAAATAATGTGTTAGATTCATTGATTTTCCAATACTAAGCCAACTTTGCTTTATCGAGGTAAATCTGACTTGGTCATGATATGTAACCATTTTCATTTCTAGATTTAGTTTGCTCCTGTTATGTTGGACATTTTTGGGAAATCTATATTCAAAAGGTAGTTTGCTCTGTTTTTCTCATTTTATCTTTATCTAGCTAGCTTTGTTATCAGGCTAATGTGGACCTCATAGAATGAGTTGGGAAGTGTCTCCTCAAACATTTTTTTTGGAACATTAAGCAAGGGATTGGTATTCTTTAAACGTTTCACCTGTTACCATTAAAGTCCTCTGTTCAAGGACTCTTTGGGACTTATATAGGTTAATTACCATATGTATTTTTATAGGTCTATTCAGATTTTTCTTCTTGAGTCAGATTGGTTGTGTCTTTTTATGTTTAATGTAATTAAACATACTGCTAATGTAGGACTGATGTCTGTTCTTTTCCAGTTTGTTTCCATGTGTCTTAAGACTTTTTGTTTCTCTGTTCATTTATTACTGCCTTCTTTTGTGTACCATTTTAATTCCTTTGTTTCTTTTACTGTATTTTCTAATATTCTTTTCATGGTTGCTCTGATATTTCAGGGAACATCTTACTTAAAATAATTGTTTTCAGATTAATATCAACTTAATTTCAATTGTTTACAAAATTTGCTCCACTATATCTTTGTTCCTTCCCCTCTTCTTTGTGCTGTTATTATTATGCAAATTACATCTGTATGTAATGTAAATACCTCAAGGCAATCATCTAGTTACTTGTTTATGCTATTGTCTTCAAGTCAGAAATGAGCAAAAAATGTTACAAATAAAAATAGAATTTTTTTTGTCTTTTAAATTTATTTATGCAGTTACTTTTACTCGTCCTCTTTTTCATGTATATATGAGTTACTCTCTAGTGTCCTTTCTTTGCTGCCTGTAGGACGCTTTTGTACCCCTTGAGGGTGTGTCTATTAGCACTGAATTCTTTTAACTTTTGTGTATCTGGGAATGTCATCATTTCTCCTTCACTTCTCAAAGGATAGTTTTGCTGGATACAGAATTCTCGGTCAACGGTCTTTTTCCTTCAGTAGTTTGAATATAATCATCCCACTATTTTCTGGTCTCTGTGGTTTATGAAAACTTACTTAAGATCCATTACATATGATGAGTTGTTTTTCTCTTGCTGCATTCAAGATTCTGAAGTCACTTTGACAATTTGATTATTATGAGTCTAGATTTGATTTGAATGTCTTTGAGTTTATCCTTCTTGGCATATACTGATCTTCTTGCATAATGTATAGATTAATACTTTTTCATCAGATTTGGCAAGTTTTGGCCATTATCTGTTCACATAGTCTTTGTGTGCTCTTCTCACTTTTGTTTGACTTCCATTATATTTGTCATGTTTACTGAGTAATTCTTTTTCATTATTTTATAATAAATAAGAACATAAGGTTCTCTGTAGTACTGGCTGAATCTCATAAGTGGTGTTCTTGTTTCATTGTTTGTTTAGTGTGTTTGATCGGGGCGGCTAGGTGGCTCAGTGGGTTAAAGCCTCTGCCTTCAGCTCAGGTCCTGATCTCAGGGTCCTGGGATCGAGCCCTTCATTGGGCTCTCTGCTCAGCAGGGAGCCTGCTTCCCCCCTCTCTCTCTGCCTGCCTCTCTGCTTACTTGTGATCTCTGTCTGTCACATAAATAAATAAAATCTTTTAAGAAGTATGTTTGATCATAATTTACATTTCTTTTTTTTAAAGATTTTATTTATTTGACAGAGACAGAGAGCACATATTTTATAATATATAAAATATATTGTTTTATCACATTGGTTTTTTTTAAGATTTTTTTTATTTATTTGACAGAGAGAGATCATAAGTGGGCAGAGAGGCAAGCAGAGAGAAAGGAGGAAGCAGGCTCCCTGCAGAGCAGAGAGCCCGATGTGGGACTTGATCCCAGGACCCCGAGACCATGACCTGAGCCGAAGGCAGAGGCGCAACCCACTGAGCCACCCAGGTGCCCCTGTTTTATCACATTGTGATTAGTGTGGTTGCTATCCTTTTGTACATGCCTAGTTCTTAATAACTGTAGTACAGCAAGTCCCTCATTCTTTAAAGAAAAAAAAAAGGCTTTATTTTCATGTACTTATTCTTCCAGGAGACCTTTAGAAACAACTTGTCAAGTCCTCACCATGAATACCATTGGAATTGCAGTTGGAATGGCATTGAATGCGTAGATTTAATTTTTGGAGAGCTATCATCTTTATAATCTCCTCATACATGAATGTGGTATGTTTCTCCTCGTATTTAGGTCTTTTTTTTTTTGAAGATTATATCCATTTATTTGAAAGAAAGAGAGCCAGAGCACACAAGCAGGGGGAGTGGCAGAGAGAGAGGGAGAAGCAGGCTCCCCACCAAGCAGGGAGCCTGATGTGAGGCTCAGTCCCAGGACCCCGGGATCATGACCCCAGCCGAAGGCAATTGCTTAACCAACTGAGCCACTCGGACTTGTGTGTATCTATTCTAGATAATCATTTATCTTCATTATTTTTCCTTAATTTCTGGAAGAAATAGATGTCCTAGGAACTGAGATTCTGTTTGAAAAGTATAGATGTCATCTGCATAGACTAGACTCTTTAGTATAAAAGATCATACAAAATATATTTTTTTATATGATGGTAACATTTCTTCCATGTGACCCTAGGAGTCTGCCTTATTTATAGTATTCCATGTCCTTGTTTTGTATTAATTACAGAGATGATGTCTAATAATAGGGAAATTATGTAGTAAGCCGTTTGTTTTTAATGCTGTCAGCATCCCTTTGATCCTCTTCTTTCCCATTTAGAAGTGCTTCCTCCATCCTGCAAGCTTCTGGGAACTCAGTGCCCATTGTATACAGGATATGTACCCATTGAAGACCTTCATGCCCTCCAATATAAGGCTAACTGTGTTCTCACTACAGAAGTTTAGAATCAGAGAGGTAAGAGTCCTATTCCACTTGATGTTTCTGTTTCAGTCTTAAGAGCAACTCTCTGAGAGGGAGCTAAAGAACATCCAGGATTCTCAGAGGGATTTGAACGTGGATCCTATGAGAAGCATCATAGGAATTAGAGCTGTTTAGATTGTGGGAGACAACACGTCCAAAGTAAATAGTTTGATAATCTATTTACAGATCTTTTGTAGAGTCAGGGGTAGTTGATTTTTGCTGCTTTTGAAGGCAGTTGTAATTAATGGATAAACAGATATAAGAACTGTCCAAAGATGTAAATATTCTCAGACGTGATACCTAATGGTCTCTATGACCACTTGGAATGGAATTTGAAAATCTCCCTGCACTGTAATGAGAGGTTGGATTACATGCACTTAAAGGTCACATTTATTTCTGAGATTCTGACTATCTCAATAAGGACAAATGAAACTGAGTATTATTGTGTGCTTACTTCACATGTTCCCATTTAATCATCACCACAACTTTCTGAGGCATCCCAGAGAGGTAGAATAAATTTGTTAAGGTAACTCACCTAATTAATGGCAGAGCATACTTCTCCAGTGTATCTTAATCCAAAATATATCTCCTCTAGTATGTATTAATTTACAAGAGTAATTCCTTAAATTTGTATAGCACTTCATCATTTAAAAACCTGTCACAAGCATGGTTTTATTTGACCCTCATAAAAATTGGGTGAATTTGGAAGAACAGATTTCATGTTTATTTTATAAGTGGAAAAACATGGGTTTAGAAACTCTGAGTTTCTCTAGGGTAAGAGGGCTCTGGGAGACCATTCAATACTACAATCTCCATATTTTGCAGTTGAGGAAACTGAATACCAGAATTAAAAATCAGTGTATTTTGTAGGTATTCTTTGATTTGTTTTGGAGGGAGGAGAAGGTCAGGCTAAATGATTTCCTGGGGGTACAGAAGGGTTGTGTTGCTTTTATCCATCCTTTAGTATACACTTGATAAATGCCGACTCACCACATTAGATTAAATGGCATTTTAACAGGCATTGAACAGAGGCACTAAGGGTTTAAGGAGAAAACTTAAGGCTTTAGGGAGCAGGTTGTGGAAGATACTTTGGGTCATGAGATCCTTCTTGGTAGCCCTGAAAACATTTTAAGTGTTTTCTGCTCCTGGTTTAAGGGACACCTGAGAAGCAGGGCATGAGAGATTGGGTTATGTTGTTAGTTTGCGATCAGTCTGGTATGGATGGGAATGAAGCCTCAGCCCCTGCCACGATCCTGGGAGGCACTAGTCACTCGTGGGTGTATGACACAGGTTCAGCGTGATAGCTCTCTTGAATATGGCATAGGTTGCAGATTTAGAACCTCAGAGATGGAAGGACCTTAAAAACCTCATATCCAAACCAGCTGATTTCAGTTTGATCCTAATTCAGGTTCTTCTAAAATATACCCAACAAATGGCCTTTAATTTTGCCAGTGGAGCGGTACAATTAGCGACGGGGAAGTCCTTCAGCTTGTCTCTTCTTGGAAGATTTCTGTGCAGTATTGAGCGGAAATATATTTTTCTTCAGCTTCAACTTAATCAGCATATTTGTGTTGTACCCAATTCAAAAATACTGCTTTATTGTTCTCTTTCCTGCACCTCTAGTTTCTTCTCTCTGCTGCCTTTTGAGCTGCGGCACTATGCTGGGAGATGGGACTATGGAGACGAATTTAGGCACAGTCCCTGCCCTCAGGTGTTCTCAGTCCAGTGAGAGGGTTCGACGTGTACACAAATAATTACAACAGTATGGTATGCTCTACAGTGGAGGTATGTACAAGATACTATGGGGTTTAGAAGAGAAATCATTTGAGTATAGAGATGCCAGAGGTTGGAGGAACTGATGCTTAAGTGGCTTAAAAGCAGTAACACTAGACTAGGAAGAAGACAGGGGAGTACCTGTTAAGCAAAGGCATGGACATTGGAGATAGAATGATGACATGGGGGAACTACAAGTAGTTCCTAAAATTCAGACATGTGGGCTGCCAATAGGTCCTTATGTAGTATTCCATGAAATATGGATTCCATTTTGAGTGTTTAAGTAGGAGATGCTTTTGATGGTCACTCTGGCAGTACTCTAGAGTGTGTTCTGGAAGATACTCAGATCTGGACAGGGAGATTAGTTAGTAGGTAAGATGATAAATTACCTAAGGCCAGAAGGAGTGGGAGTGGAGGAATGGAGCTAACCTCTTAATGGGAGGCTGTATAAACATGGACATAATAGAACATGGGAAAATTAATAGAGGGGGCAATTAAGGCTCTCAGACTTTGGCAAACGTGCAATCACCTATCTCCATCCCTGGCCTTGATGAGAAATCCCCTCATGTTTTCTGGAAGAGCATTGCTGCTGTTTTCTTTTGAACTAGGGCTTGACTGTACTGTTTTTTGCAAGTTTCTTTTTGGGATGGCAGCTGTGTATGAAATGTTGAGTCTCAGAAGGACGTCTGAAGAGCTGCAGACCTCTCATAGGATTACTTAGTTCCTGATCCTTCTCATCAGTAGCAATTCTCCCTCACTGCCACCTGTCAGCCAGAGTCAGAGTGGAGGCTCTCATCTCTCAGACCCCCTGAGGGAAGAGACAGCGCTTGTTGTCACTGTCTCGGTTCTGTTTTGCTTAGGAATTTTAGTGTTTATGGCTACCTCCCAGTAAAATACATTCAGTAATCAAAAATCTATACATGCACTATTCATTTCCTCTTTTTTCAAAGCAATAGGAACGTGTCCTTTGGAAAATTCTCCACCTAGGGCTCAGAGGAGTGACCTTGGGAATTCAGGGAATGGATCTCTGTGACTAGAACAATTAACAGAAAATTATATTTAATTAGACCTTGGGTATTTTCAGTGAACCCTGTGTAAGTAGCCATCTAGAGGGACGGTAAGGGGAAGAAGGGATGGGAAAGGGAGCTCTGAGTAGGACAGCAAAGCAGAATAGTAAAAGTTTGGGCCTGGGGACTAAATAGCCTAGGCTCAGATCTGCTCTTACATTCACCAGTGTGGTGTCAAGCATGGTTTTTCACCTCTCTGGTACTTGACTTTCTCTTATGTAAAATAGGGGTAATAATCTTTTTGGCAATGATTGGGGGAGGGGGTGATCTCAATGATTTGTAAGGATTTAATGGAATTGTTCGTGTAAATTGCTTGGGATGAGTCTGAAGTATGCTAAATACTGTATCAACTGTAATTGCTGCTGCTGCTGATGTTGACCATGAAAAGGATTAAAAGAAGATAGTTAACAAGAGGTGCTTATTATATTTTACATTGTCAATGAGACTCTTGGGGTTCAAGAAAGAAAGGATAACAAACTGATGTGAAGGTTTTCAATGGTGTGCTAGTATGAAGTCAATTCGTCAATTCTCTGCCTTCTTTTTTCTTCTCTGCCAAATAGGTTGGGAAGCCAGATGAAGTTTGTCCATGCCCTGATCACTAATCTATTGCCTTTGCTCTTATTTCCAAATAGAAACCTGTTGAAAAGTTGTGTTACACCTGAATAAAGGTTATCCTAAAAATGTAGAAAAAAATGCTTTGGAGTTGGTCAAATACTGGACTTGAAACCTGACTCAACTGCTTACTAGCTGTGTGATCTAAGGCATGTTACTACTTAACCTCATTGAACCTCAGTTGCTTCATCTAATATCATAATTAATTTGCAGGGTTTCTCTGAGGATATTTGTCAAGTGTATGTCATAAGCACTCTATAAATCATAGCTATCATTGTTAGTTCTTGGGATACTCACCATGTGACAGAGACAACAGCACGCCCTGGTGGCTGGGAGGACTGCATGGATCCATCCTCAACTTGGAGTTGTGCTCTTCTGAAGAAATCCTACTCGGATGGATATAATACAACCTGCTAAGTGTCCTAGCACTTATCAGGTTGTATTATCATTGTCCGTGTCTATGGCTTTCGTCTACCAGACTCTAAATTCATTACAGGCAAGGACAGTGCCTTATTCATCTTTGTATTCGGTGCCTAATCCCGTGCACATTGTAGGCCTCATTAAATGTTTGTTGAATGAAAAACTGAATCATCAACAGACATTAATTGGGCGCCTGCTCTGTGATCTCCATGGGCTCAGCTTTTTCCCGCCAGTTGCCTACAACGTCCAAGCTGTCTTCAATATGCTTTCTCCTGAAGCTTACTCCTATCTTCTAATCCTTTTGCTGAGGACTTTTCTGTGTAGTGCAAGGAAAGCAAATATATTTACTTCATCTCAAGTACCATCTCCAACCGATTGAGAGTACCTGCCTTGATTGTGTTTATAAAGAGGATTCTGAAGCCAGGTCCCAGTTCAGTGTGAAAGAGCATTATGACTAATCAGCAGTGTTTGCCAAGGGTGGGGGAGGGGGGCATAACAGCACAAGGGCCATATCTGTGTCTTATTTGATACTGTGTTTTCCGTGAAATACTCTGTTTCTATGCCTGCATTTTAGTCTTGGCTACTTGCAGATGTTGCATGGCTGCCGCTGCCGCTGCCCCTTCTACAGTTGCTGCTGGTTGCTCCTTGGGTAGGACCAAAGTGATCATTGATCAGAAACTTCATCCTCACAGTCTGGGGTTTGCTCCTGTGGCTGGTATTCACAGTTTCCCCTTTCAACTTTACCTCAGCTATCCCCTTACCTACCACACTGACAGGTAGGCCTCCCCTTTCCGTTCACCACCCAAAAGGCTCATATTTCTTTTCTTATTTCGTATGATTAATTGTTCTTGTTCCATGAGAAGCCTTCTTTCTATTAGAAGATGTGACAACTAGAATACAAGTTAAATGATTCCATCAGGGTGCTACAGTGAGTCATATAAGCTTCCCCTCTACTGTGGGAGAAAATTGCAGATTTTGGGGCAGGAAGAACTGAGAAGGGATGTGCGTTGTAGATGTGGGAGAGGAAGACGATAGCAGATGGAATAAGATCCTGGGAAACAATGTAGGTTGGGAGGGTGAAACCTGTGGCTCTAAAATAGGGATGGAGGGTTGATAGCCTTGGTTGAAAGGAGTTTACCTCCTCACTGGAGCATAGGGATGGGAGTCAGGAAGAGTAGCTGAGAGGGTTGTTGAAGATTTGTAATTGCTGAGGTGAGTGATGGAGAGGAAGCTGACCCGGGACAGGATTATGGAGACAAACCAAAGTCTAAGGACTATTCGGGCCAAAAGGCTGGAGTGGGGCCTTTTGGTATGTTAAAGTGAGATACTACCATATTAAATGATAGATGATACATTCAGTTAAAGTGAGAAGCCAGTTTAAAACGTGATTAGAAACTCAGGAAATTATAAAGTGGTCTTAGGCCACTGTCACAAGTAAATTTGATTGCCTGGGACCAACCTTTATTGACTGAGGAGTGGACAGCTAGCAAGAGAAGGGTTACACAGAAATGAATTTGGAAATCCAGACTATGTGTGGAAGGCAGTTAGGTCAGAATTGAGCTCAAAAGTCTGAATACAAAGAGGACTTGGTGTGATCAAGATGGGTGTGGAATAGTTGGAAAATTGCAATAATAGGACCTGTAATCAGAGAGTAGATTTTTAGAGATTTCAGAACTGGAGTGGTCAAGATACTTGTGAAACTGGGATGTCAGATGGTCAGCTACATAAATACTGAAGTGAGCCAGGATTATAGCAGAAGCCAGACTGGGAACAAACACTGGGGGCCAGATAGAATAGGCTTTGGTGCCTGAGGAATGGTTAGAGGTTGGCTCATGGCAGCGGTGCAGGTGCAAAAGAGGAAAGGATGTGGCGGGATAGTAGTAGGAGCCGCAAAAGAGTGGCAAGGATTATTAGAAGTTACAAAAAAAATTTAATTTGCACATTGCACTGTGGTGTTAGCTTGCAGAACGCCCAGCTAAAACGATCCCCTCATTTACTGAGCTCCCGCTCTCTCCCTGGCATCTTGCTCTGTACTCTCCATTTACCCCCTTTGGGTCTATCACATACCAGGTGTGAGAGAATGAGCAGCGGTCCCAAGCAAGGATAGCTAGGGTAGCTGCTGGCCCTCAGAACTGATGGAATGCTGTGGTCACCTCAGCAGACTGGGCAGCTTGAAGTGGCATAAAAAGATTTCCTTAGGATCAAAATTTTCCCTTGATATTGACCTAACTTTATTACATGGTAAAAGCTCGTGTTGGCTGTTCCATAATGTACTCTGGCTTCCAAGCCTCTGAGTTGGGGGAGTATGCTGGTACTGTCCTTTAAAAAACAAAAACAGGCACAACACTTGAAAAAACACACATATTGATTAACTCTAAAATAAGATACTCTGGTTATCTATTTGAGCTTTTAAGATAAAGGATAGATCAAGGAAAGCTCACATTGATGGGTGAATAACAAAACCACTTTGGAAAACCACTCTGAGGTCAGGATTGTCCAGTTTAGTGGACTTACTATAGATAACTGCTGTGCTGTTGGGAAGGAGGGCTAGAAATTGAGGCAGAAAATGTCCCTTAGGACCCAGAAGGTCAAGTTTAGGAGAGGAGAGTCTCTCTGTGAACCCTGTGACATTGCATGTAGTCATTTTTCTTCAGTTACAGTCTTCACATGAGCTATGAAATTTCAATGAAGGTTTAGAGCCACTGTTACAGAGAGACCAGGCCCTCAGACAGCCCATCCCCTTCTTTGGGGGCTGCTTTATATTTATTCCTCAGGAGGATCTGGTAGAAGACTTCGTGGGGGGAGAAGAAAAGGCAAGAACCGGACAAGGACTACAGCCTGTCTTCATCTCAACTTCACAAAGCCTGATTCAGCAGAGGGATCATCCTCTTGAGACTCTCCAGACCACAGGTTGCTCTTTTCAGTTGCATGCTTAGCCCTCTCAGCTATTTTCTCTGCTCAGAAATTGTATTATACGTGCATATACAAACTACCACTTCCATAAAGAGTTCTCCACATTCCCAGGGGAAAAAAAAATCCCTAAAATAAGGTGTAAGGCAGGCAGTCAGCTGTCTTGAAAGTAACCCCCATCCCTGCACTTCATATTACTTCTTTTTCCTTCTGCTCCTTGACTAAGATACCACTGATGACAGCAAACCAAAGCCATACTCTCTTCTCCCACTGGCACTTTTCTGGCCTGCGTGAATGCTGTTAGAAGTCACTCTTTCATTAGCACGTTCTTCCCATTTCTTAAGACCCAGAGAGTCATGAATGCTAGAGTTGGGGTCGAATTTGCCGTACTTGGCCTCTGTGGTTGGGGAATACTAATGTTAATCAGCCTCATACCCATTCACTTCTGATTTCATGTCAGATGCTAGAGAAGCTGTAGCCAAGGCTAGCAACCCTGTAGACCCCAGCCCCAGGACTTATTCGATGTCTCAGCTGGTTACAGAATACTGGTAGGAGGGCTTGCCTTAACCCAGCCCCCCTTCTGAGTTAGTCATCAGAAATCAGGACTTGTCTTAGGGTATATGTTACATAAGGACAGATACCTCAGGGATTAATAGTAAATAAGATCAGGAGTCCAGGTTACCTTTTCTCTCTTTTGGGGATGGGTGGCATAGGGTAAGTGGAAAGTCTTGTGCCTTTCAAATATATTCCCAGTGATTCCTCGGGATACCCTGGGTCACACCATCTGCTATCTTATCCCAGGTCTTGCCATCCTTCAGAGTTTTTCTAGTGCTCTTCTTGGCTCTCACTAACCACCTTTTATTCCCTGCCCAGCCCTGTTGGGTTTCAGCAGGTGTTTTGTTTTGTTCTTTTCCTTTTCCCTTCCTCAGGCCACCTGTGACAGTCGTCACCTGGGAGGAGCCTTGTTGTGAATGAGTGAATGAAGCCTCATTGAGTGAGTGGAGTGGCACTCATGTTTTTCTCTAAATATAAGGAGAGGGAAGGAGGCCATGAAATCCCATAATGGAGTAACAAAAATTTGACATTTTAGTAGATACTGGACCTAGAAGCCTACATGAATGAAGGAAACAAACCTGAGAGATCTTGGATGTGAGTGAGTGAAGATAGGAGTGAACTCCTTATTACCCTGAGTAATGGAGGAAGAGGGGAAAAAAGTGTGAGGGAAGTCAAAATCCTTTATGTCCCCAGAGGAGGCCCTGAAACTAGCTTCATAAACCAGTGACTTTTTAAGGTGGATTAAAGATGAGGTGTTGCACCGCACTACTTCCGTTGCTGTTTGTGTTGAGAGTTGCTGTTCCAAGCCAGTTTCTCAGGTACAGCTGCCTTTGTGGAGACTCCTCTTGACCCCTATTGAGAAACAGCCCAGAACGAGGTTTGCAACTTAGAACTCTCTGGATCAGTGACAGAGTTTTAAAGGGGTTGAGGACAGAGGAGGTAGCACAAGTAATACCAAATAGCTCAGGTTTTTATATATATATATATATATATATATATATAGGATGGATGGGATAGAGGCAGAGAGCCCAATGGTTTTAGGCAACTCCAAACACCCGGTGAGGCATAAGGAAACAGTACACTGAAAGGTCAGCCCTTCAGCCTATTATTTGTCAATCTCCAGAGCATGATAGAATATCTAAAAGTTGTAAAAGATTCTTTCCTAGAAGAGATTCAGAAGAGGGGAACTTCCCGTTATGTAATACGGGCATTATAGCTTTTAAAGAGTTCCCTACATAGGTCATGGAAATTGTTACTCATATCTGCCTGTGGGTGACCAGGCGAGTATTAACTTTGAGGTTTCATGCCCTTGGAGAGATCCTGCCACTCTCTTGCTTTGACAGGTGTTCATCTGCAGAATGAGTCCAGTACTTGAAGAAGTAAGAGGACAAGAGGCATCCAGGGGACAACAGTGTGGTCTTCTAAGTGAAGATGGCAACAGAAAAGATCATGGACTTGGCTGGATTGGGCTGGGCTTATTTGTTGTTTCAGAATTTAAAAAATACTTTTTTTTTCTTGACAGTAAAAGTAACAGATGATCATTGTTGAAAAATCAAAGGTATAAATTAAAAAGTCAAGAACACCTATAATCTTATAACCCAGAAAACAACTCAACATTTGAGTGTTGCCTTTTGCCCTTTTAAAAAAGAATGTCTGCAACACAGTTTTTCACATTTTTATTTTAATTTCAGTTAGTAAACATACAGTGTTCTGTTCATTTCAGATGTACGATTTAAAAACAAAATTGACATCATATTGCATATGTTGTTTTCCATTTTTCTTCATTTGAAAATAACGTATTTCCATGTCATTACCATTCTTTGAAAACACAGTATTGGTACATGGTATTTCATAGGGATCTAACAAAATTTAGGTAGGTAATTGAATGCTGCTGGACATTTTGCATATTACCAATTTTGCCTATAAAATGTAATAAACGTATGTTAATCACTGTGTACATTTCTAATTATTTCTTCCCAGTAAATTTCTAGAATTGGAATTACTGAGTTTGGTGAGAGCATTATTAGGACATCTGAAAGGTACTGTTGAATTGTCCTCAGTATAGTTGTAAAAATTCATTCCCGTCATTGGTGTATGTACGTGCACGTTTCTCCACACATTCATCAAAATATGGCCTTTCCTCTCTTTTTATAAAGCTCTGCTCATTTAATAGGTAAATGTAAGAGATTGATTGATTGATTGATATATTTATTTAAGAGGGAGAGCATGTGCAAGTGTTGGGGGAGGGGCAAGGGGAGAAGCAGTCTTCTTGCTCAGCAGGGAGCTAGATGCGGGGCGAGGGACCCTGGCATCATGACCTGAGCCAAAGGCAGATGCTTAACTGACTGAGCCACCCGGATGCCCCTGTTCTATGGGTTTTGACCTAAGGCAAAGCCAAGAGTTGAATGTTAACCTCCTGTGCCATGTAGGCACCCCTCCCTGTTCTTTAAGTTTTTAAATTCCAGTTAACATACATTGTTCTATCAGTTTCAAGTGTGCAGTATAGTTACTGAACACCCATACAGCACCCCATGCTCATCACAGGTGCCCTCCTTCATTCCCATCACCTGTTTCACTCATCCCCCAACCCCCCTCCCCTTGAGTAACCATCAGATTGTTCTGTATAACTAGTCTGTTTCTTGCTTTCTCTCTTTCTGTGTCTCTGTCTCTGTCATTTTTTTCCCTTTGCTTGTTTCATTTGTTAAGTTCCACATGTGAGTGCAATCCTCATATATTCTTTTTTTTTTTTAAAGATTTTATTTATTTATTTGTCAGAGACAGAGGGAGAGAGAGCGAGCGAGCACAGGCAGACAGAGAGGCAGGCAGAGGCAGAGGGAGAAGCAGGCTCCCTGCCGAGCAAGGAGCCCAACGTGGGACTCGATCCCAGGACGCTGGGACCATGACCTGAGCCGAAGGCAGCCGCTCAACCAACTGAGCCACCCAGGCGTCCCCCTCATATATTCTTCATACAAGTCCTTTGCCAGGTGTGTTATTTGGAAATGGATTTTCAGAGTCTGTGGCCTGTCTTTCCATTAGCAATACTTTGCTCAGAGCAAAAGTGTTTAACAGAGTCTACCTTATCCGATATATGACAATGTAAGTTGGGATGGGTATAAATGGAGTTGAAGTGTAAGTGTTCTAAGCCACTTAAATTATCCAGGAGGTGTTTAATTGTAACAAATATTTATTGTAAAACTATGACTCTAAAGATAGATCTAAAAGATCTATCATGATTCTTACACTGTGTAATCCCCTTCCCTTAAATGTGGGCAGGATCTGGGGCACCTGGGTGGCTCAGTGGATTAAGCCGCTGCCTTCGGCTCAGGTCATGATATCAGGGTCCTGGGATCGAGTCCCACATCGGGCTCTCTGCTCAGGAGGGACCCTGCTTCCCCCGACCCCTGCCTGACTCTCTGCCTACTTGTGATCTCTCTCTATCAAATAAATAAATAAAATCTTTAAAAAAAAAATGGGGGCAGGATCTGTGTCTGCTAACCAACAGGGTATGGCAAAGTTGATGGGATGTTACTTCCATGAAAATGTTACATAATATTGCATATACATTTAAAAATAGCCTCAGAATATACAAAACATTAATTGAAGTCCATGGGGAAATTGCAAATCTACCAAGTGAATTAAATAATTCAACACCTTTTCAGACTGAGAAATCACATATAGGGGTGGCTGAGGGCTCAGTCAGTTAGGTGTCTGACTTTGGCTCAGGTCATGATTCCAGGGTTCTGGGATTGGGCTCCCCACTCAGCAGAAAGCCTGCTTCTTCCTCTCCCTCTGCCTGCCATTTCTTCTGTGCTCTCTCTGTCAAATAAATAAAAACTTTAAAAATACATATTTTAAGGGGCGCCTGGGTGGCTCCGTCATTAAGTGTCTGCCTTTGGCTCAGGTCATGATCCCAGGGTCCTGGGATTGAGCCCCGCATCAGGCTCCCTGCTCAGCGGGGAGCCTGCTTCTCCCTCTCCGACTCCCCCTGCTTGTGTTCCCTCTCTTGATGTCTCTCTCTCTATCAAATAAAAAATCTTTAAAACTTTTAAAATAAATATATATATATATATATATATTTTTTAAACAAATCACATACACCAATCAACAGCATACAGAAGATTTAAACAACCCAACTCACCCAATGGAAATACTGTGCTTCTGCTTTGAAGAATTACAGAAATAATTCATCCAAAGCATTTGCAATAGTCACAAGAACTGGTTCTGCATTAGATCAGAAAGATTACTTACTAATTTAAAAAATTGGCATTATATGACTCATGCTGTCTTACCACACTGAAGTTATATATTAATAAAGGTAAATAAAACATCTACATATATTTCATAATTTAAAGCACATTTCTAAATACAGTACTTGGCTTTTTCTGATGGGATTATTTTACGTAGCATTATACTCTAGCTCCATCCATATCGCAAATGGCAAGATTTCATTCTTTTTAATGGCTGAACAATATTCCATTGTGTATATATACCACTTTGGCTTATTCATCTCTGGATGGGCACTTGGGCTGTTTCCATAAGCTTAGCTATTATAAATGAAATAAATGGGTGCACATACCTTCTGAATTAGTGTTTTCATTTGGATAAATATCCAGTAGTGTGGGGCACCTGGGTGGCTCAGTCAGTTAAGCATCTGCCTTCAACTAAGGTCATGATCCCAGAGTCCTGGGATGGAGCCCCATGTCGGGCTCCCTGTTCAGTTGGGAGTCCCTGCTCTCCCTCTGCCTGTCTCTCCAGCTTGTGTGTGCACACTCTTTTTCTCTCTGAAATAAAATCTTTTTAAAAAAATATATCCAGGGGTGCCTGGGTGGCTTGGTGGGTTAAAGCCTCTGCCTTCAGCTCAGGTCATGATCCCAGGGTCCTGGGATCAAGCCCCGCATTGGGCTCTCTGCTCAGCAGGGAGCCTGCTTCGCCCTCTCTCTCTGCCTGCCTCTCTGCCTACTTGTGATCTCTGCCTCTCAAATAAACAAAATCTTTAAAATACACACACACACACACACACACACACACACACACACACACACACACA